GCACAGTTAGTCTCATTGATAATCCTCATTGTCAGAATCGGTGGAAAACCCATCATATTCGCCACAATCTGAACAGGCCTTGATTCCGCAGCCACTTTCGGACTTGCCTTGGCGGTTAGACTTTGCTCAGTGCAAGTGCTTTAGACTCTTCGTTTGGCATGAGAGCCCAATAAAAAAGGCGTTCCTCGGATCCGAGAAGGATGAATCAATAAATCGATGTGATTGTAAGGGATTCCCAGTCCCTGGCTGGACGAAGTAGAAGTGTGAGGCAAGTGAGCGAATCCCAAAGCTCTCTTCTTTCAAGTTTATGAGCTTGGAAGACCCGTTGAAGTCCCCGAATACTCGACTCCACCATATCAACATCATAAATCATTCGAATCGCACATTAAATTATCTAGCTTTGCAGATTTTCAACAGTTTTTTTGTCTAGGGAGCAAAGCCTCCAGGCTATGTCCCCAACATATCTAGCATTTAATTTTAATGCATGGTCACACTGGTCCCTCTGGTGAGCTCAACCGGCGATATAGGCTCTGTCGGCGAAGCTCCAAAGCACCACCTTCGAACTGGTGTTCTTCTTTTTCCCTTAAAACCATAGCTCCCCTGCCTCTGGTTTGAACTGTAGCTGTTGTTGCTGTGCCACGAGCCCTTGCTGCTACGTTGGAGGACACGGCCCTGCTTACACCGCTGTTCCCCTAGATGGCTTTCCACTGTCCTCTTCATGCCGACTCTCTCATATGTACTTTCGTGGCTCTCAAGGCAAATCAGGTGGTGATGAAACCGATTGCTCTTCCATCACCATTCACCACCGCCCACGTTGTCATGTTGTCGGAGCTCAACTCCACCATCGAGTGAACCGTCTCAGCGTCTCTGCCCAGTCAACAAATCAAGATCTTCTTCTCTACTCCACCGAAAATACACGATACCCATCAAAAGTGTTAATATTCCAAAAACCTAAATTCAATATGACAATGTTCTAAATGAAAAAATTGATATCATTCAATTTATGAGAGTTGGTCTAAAACTCTAAAAACACAANACCAAACCCTCTAAACGAAAATTGAAAAAATCAAAATTGATTTCCAAGATCATAAGCTTAGAACTGCAATTACCAACAAAAGCAGACNCACANANCTNGCTTACGATACCATTANAAGAGNAGTTTGTGTGAAACAAAAANNNCTATAAGATCAGTACAACTTTCAATAAAGAGAAGAAACAAACAAATTGTTAAAGTTAATATGATTCAATCGAAAATGGAATCCACATTAAAAATAAGTCCATTTAAAGAGAAGAAGAACGTATTGGGAGATCCAGTAACAAAGAAATAAAACGGTACGGATTGATGAACAAAACTATAAACTAATAGTTGTATAACCTTGTTGAAGAATCGAATTCGTATAACACAAACCATCCAGTACCAAAGACCAATGTTTACAAAAAGAATAAATAAATATAGAAAATTAACGAAAATAAGCATGATATTGGAATCACCTTTTTAAACTGTTACTTTCAATCTTTTATGATTCCCCTATTTGGTT